AATAAAGAGGTTAATATAAAAAATATTTTTTGTCCGATTCATCGATTAATCGAAAAAATAATCGGCCGATTCATCGATTTTTTTTAAATAATCGTTAGTTGCAGCCCTATAGTAAAGTATAGATATCTTAAAAGTGTACTTAGGTACAGTAACAAAGGATTTTTTACTTCTTTACTTGACACCTCTGCACATTTTTTATCAATGTGAGGGTTTCTCCTATTATTTGGTGATTTATAGAGTTAAAACCGAATGAAAACACTGTTGTTCTGTGTCTTCAGAGTCAATGTCATCCTCTGAAGGCCCCTGTTAGACCTCGTCACCACAGAAACCAAGACGGACCACTCAGAGTTCTGCTGGTGTGAAAAGCCTTGATTCCAGCTGAAGAAGAACCAAACTCAGGGAGATGGCCTCACCCTTCGTGCCTGTCCCCGTCCCCATGGACCGAGCTCTGTCAGGCGGCAAGCTGAGGCGGCCGCAGCGCACCGCGTCTCTCGGAAGCGTCTCTAGCAGCTCAGAGTCCTCGTCCCCCGTCACCAGGTCAGCGAGGGAAGAGCGGAGAGGATCGGGTTCACAGCGGCAGTCTCGATGCGCGGACAGAGCCAACCGCAGCCTGACGCCCCCGCCCCTTCAGAGCCCCGTGACGCGGGCCAGGCTGAACGGGACGCTGGACACTTCTGTCCAGTACTCCGCCTGTCCGCGGTCGGCTTCAGATCCTGCTGGGAGCCAGCAAGCAGAGGAGAGGCCGATCACCCCTACGGTGCTGGGGTACGAGGTCATGGAGGAGAGAGCCAAGTTCACGGTAGATTAGATTTCTGTTATTATTGAATGCAATCTATAAATATTCTTTATTAAACTTCTACTGCTTAACCACAGTTGTTATCTATTGCAGGTTTATAAGATTCTGGTCAAGAAGAGATCGGATGAGAGCTGGGTTGTGTTTAGGAGGTACACAGATTTCTCCCGACTCAACGACAAGGTGCGCTTGTTTTTTTGTTTTTTTTATTATGCTTGCATGCAGCTGTCCCAAAAAATCAAGGACATTTTCAGCTCCATTTTTTGTTATCTTACACCAATGTTTGTATATACTCTTATCAACCTTCTGCTGTTGGTGAGAAGCGGTCAGAGCTGCACAAAAGCTCTCTGTTCGCACATAGCTGACGGGCCCGAGCCAACAAGGTGAGTGAGCGGCTCCCTCATGGCTTGAGGAGAGAATATTTGTTCCAGATTACTTTGGCTGTCGTTCGTGTTGCAAAGGGAACCTGCTGTTCTTCCTCTACCTCAAGCATCGCATTGGGCAGAAAGTAGAGCAGATTAACGATAAGACAGGACTGAATGTCCATCCTCTGTTCTGTTCTTTAATCATTTTCAGCAGGCGCCTCCAGAAATCCTGCAGTATTTATAACTGCAGAGCTGTTATAGTTTGCAGTGATCATATCCCAGCGTTTTTTGCCTTTTTCATCACCATTTATTAAATGCAGTCTATTATCATGTTGCAAAATCTTTTGGTCGATTTGATTGATTTAAACGCCTAAATTCTGGGTCTCATATGCTCTGAAGTGGTTTTCTGAATTCCAATCTTTAAAATAAAAAAAGAGATATTAATGTAATGACTTATTGACTTATCTGCAAAATAACCATAACAGAGCAGCCAAACAGGATGTAGTGACATGCAAAACACTGAAATCTACTGCATTATCAGAGTCATTTCTCCAGAGGATTTGCATTAGTAAGCCTTGGCATGAAGCTAACAGTAAATAGTAGCTAGGTAATGCAAGAGATTGTGTACAAACCGGGAAAGGAGAGTTCATTGCTCTCTGTGCTGCAACAGTACTCATTGAACCTTTTTCACATTATTATTGCATTACAGCCATAAAGATCAATGGATTTTATTCTAATTTTATCTGTCAATTTGGATATTTGAAATAAGAGTCCACTAAAAGATCCTGTTTTGAATTGGACATGAGCTAATAAAGAAAAGCTGCTGTCCTGTGCAGATTAGCTGCTAAAAGAGTGACTTTGGCTACGTTCACACTGCAGCCTGAAGTGACCCAAATCCGATTTTTTTTTTGCCCATATGCCGCCTGGATCTGATCTTTTCATGGCTGTCTGAGCAACACAGATCCGATTTTTTTCCAATGCGACCCAGGCCACTGGGCTATGTGGTCCTGAATCCGATACGAGTCTGATTTTTACAAATGCGACCTGGCCATCATTAATACCAGACAGTGGTCACTATTCTGCGTCTTGCTACGCAGAAGCGGCAAGAAAAACAACAATCATAGCAGATGATGATGCGGAGAGCAGTATTTATGTTTAACCATATTGAAAAGATTGTGTTTTTATGGTCGGAAAAGACCGCTAGATGCGCGCCGGCACTGACAGCCATGTTTACTTCCGGGAAAAAAAAGAGCATGCTGGCCTGTGACGTCATTGCGTCCACTACTGCGCATGCGGGGTCACTTACTTTGTATGACTGCAGTTCACACAGGAGATCACATACAAGTCGCATATATTTGGAAATATGAACGGCAACGCAAACAAATTGGAATTGAGCATCAAGGCCTGCAGTGTGAACGTATCCTTTGTCTAAAATTTTGGCAAAATCAGCGCGTTCTGCCTCACTTCCCCGCTCCCTGATGTGGAAAGTTGACGTTTGTTTACAGTGCAGGTGCAGCGGGGTTATGGCAGCTCCTTCCTGGAGAGGCCATTCTAACATACTTACTCTTATAGGATTATTACAGGCTGCTGCTCATTATTATTTTGCGAATCAATTATCTATTATTTTCGTAAAGGTTTCCTAAAGAAATTTCTGAAATTAAACCAGATGCAACTAAAACTAGAGAAGTTCCAGATAGAGCATATTGAGAGGTGAAAAAGTTTCTTTTTTTTTTATCTTAAATGCAAAATGTTTACATATGTTTTTTAACAATTTTGTTATAATTACTGCTCTAATTTGTTTGCTTCATCAGCTAAAGACACATTTTAGAGTCTCTTCACTCCAGTTAATGATTCATCGATTTCTATTACTATTAGTTAACATTATTCCAGTAATCTATTTATCACGATTAATCTGATTATTGAGGATCATTCAGAGAAGCATGAATCAAGTGAAATACCACCCGGTGTGTGACTTTGAATAGCATTAGGTGATAATTAAAAGGTAAAAAAATTTGATTTTGTTTGATATTGGTGCTTTTTAATCTTTAATTCAATTCAGTTTATTTCTATAGCGCCAATTCACAACACATGTCATCTCAAGGCACTTTGCAGTTCAACCAGATCATACAGTCAGATTGATTCAAAGTTTTCTATCTA